AGCAAACCTGTATAACCAGTTTAACCGTATTTGGACACCATCTGTCAGTTTCAGGTATGGAGAACTGGATTATTGGAATGCAGATGAAAGCGGTGCTCCTGCAAATCCAGCAGCTCCAAAGCAAGGACCCGGAGTACCCAAACCCATCCCACACAAGGAGCCACCAATCTGATTCTCCTTTTACACAAAGTATCGTCAGTTGTATTGTGAATGTACGGAGTTTACCACAGCTCAACGCTGTATGAAGAGACAATCTGAAAACACTGTGATAACAAAAGACTCACTTTGATTTGTTGCAAGCACCTTTTTTTTTTTTAGGCGGACTGTAATGCCGTGGTGGTGGACAAGGCTGGTGTAAATATTTATTGGAATATGTGTGTTTTATTAGGTTCCTGTTTATCACTCATCGACACGTGCACATATAATATTTTTAAAAATTATCACCAAACTTTTTGTATTTTGTGTTAATATGTAGTAAAATATTTTAAAATGTTTGATTTCATGGATGTTAATTGTAATAAAGAAATGGATCAGGCAATAGGTTTCAAGCTCTTTTTATTTTAAGAGTAAGGGCTCATGGGAACTGTAGTAAAGCTGCTGTTCTATCAGCGTAGCCCTTGTTTGTTTCACTCTGACGTAGGTGTCAGAAATTTGCATGAAGCAGTGACTTCGCTTTTTGCTTTTGCACTGAGTTGGTTAAAGAGTTGTGGAAATTACCCTGACATCAACCTCTCCTTCCCTGCTCCTCCTTCATGTGTGTTTTGGCAGGTTAGACGCTTTAGGTGTGTCAGTGCTTTCCCAAAATTAAGAATGAATGATGTAAACCATAGATCCTCTGTAGCCTGTAGGGCAGGGATAGTCAACTTGCTTTATGCAGGGGCCACTTTGGCAAAATGACAGGAGACCAGGGGCCAGTTTATATACAAACAATAGTATTTATCAGTATATATGATAAATGAATTGCTTGTTTTCAGCCTTTCTACATTTGCTGTCCTCACTCATTTGAATGTTTCTTAAACAGTGAAAATATAGTGTTTTTAAAAAATAAAAGCATAAAAGCAACAGAACACATTATATTGTGTAAAAGAAATATTTAGTGACCCCTCAGTTTTTTCCTTGGGTGTCTTAAGGGGTTCCTACACCAAGGTTGGGAACAACTGTCTTCAACAATGCAAGTAATTTTAAATAATCTTGATTTTTCCACCTCTTGTCTGCACTTTTGCCTTTTTTAATGGTGATTTTTTTAAAATTGTAAAATAATTAATTTGACCTTTTTATATATCTTTTTTTGTCATTACTCCTTTCTGTATCCTTTATTATCTTTTATATTTTATTGCTCTGTAAAGAACTTTAAATTGCCCTTCCTTACTTCACTTTCTGGGGTTTTATTTTGAAAACATCATGACCGGAAGTTACGTGTTCCCTTGTGTTTTGACGCGGCACAATGCGGAAGTCAGCTGTCATGGCTACAACATCATGTAAAGAGCAGAGTTTTAAAGCGGCTCTGTGGTAGCTCATGGCAGCAGAGACAGCCGGAGGTGTCAGCGGGGCTCCGGCCTGTCTGTGTGTCCTCTGCGGGCTGCCTGCTGCCGGGAAGTCCACGCTGGCCCGGAACATCGTGACAGCCGCCGCACAGCGAGGATGGAGAGCCGGGGTGGTGCCGTATGATGATCTGATCCCAGAGCAGGCTTTTCAGACCAGAGTGGAGAAGGACGGTGTCACACTGCAAGAAACTGTAAATACTTTTAAACTAGACTGGTCCTAATCTAGTAGCTACCACAAACTACCAATATTAGTTAGTAACATTAAGAATTAACACATTAAAAGTAACAATAATTGTATTATGGTAATAACACAGGGACGTTGCAGCAAAGTATAATTATTTATTTAAGGGACATTACATGAGGTGATAGAGGAGAGGAGGAGAAAAGGTAC